CTGGAACTCACTATGTAGACCAGGCTGGCCTTGAACTCACAGAGATCCACCTGCCTCTGCCTCCGAATGCTGGGACTACAGGCTGCGCCACTGCACCAGCTGCATGGGTCCCATAAGGAGGCTGAAGTCCAGGTTCTGAACGTAGGCATCTTCCTTGTCAGTCTCAAGAGTCTCCCCTACATCGTGTCTCTGAAAAGGGAGAACTGGGTCTGGGCTGGCTGCCTTGCAGAGGTTATGTCAACTGTGTTGAAATTCTTGACTTGTAGCTAGCAGGAAAAAATCCAGTTCAGAGAGGTTAGCGGTTTTTTACTATCTCATGTCCCCTTCGTTTTCCTGTCTCTCTTTGCTGCCTCAGTATGTACACAAAATGGAATATTATTCAGTCATGAAAAAGAATGAAATTCAGATATGTCCTACAACATCGGTGAACCATGGGAACATGGGAAATAGAATGCAACACACAGGGAGACATGGATTGAGTGATTACCATTTATACGAGCCACCCAGAGTAGGCAGGAGCAAGGTTACCAATGGCTGAAGAGGGGAGGAACCAGAAATGATTGCTTAATGAGTCCACAGTTTCTGTTTGAGATGATGAAACCTTTGGAATTTGTGGCGTGATTACGAAACATTGTGTAAACATTCAATGGCGCTGAAATGTTCATTTACGATGGTGGAAATGGCTGCAGGTGGAGCCGAGTCAGACTGTGCTTAGCTTGCTCAAGGCCCAGGGGTCAATGCCCAGCACAAAAATCAAGTTATCATTTCTTCATGTATATTTTATCACAATAAAAAATTAGGAGTCATGGCCTTGTGTGGTGGTGCAAACCTTTAATCCCAGCACTCAGGAGGCAGAGGCAGGCAGACCTCATGGAGTTCAAGGCTAGCCTATTCTGCATAGTGCGTTCCAGGCCAGCGGGGCTATGAGGAGACACTGTTTCAGAAAAAAAAAAAGTTGAATCTATATCTAAATGAGTTATTTTGTCCACACCCCAGGATTTATCAATCGATGGCCCAACCCTAGCTTCAAGGCCTAAACACATCAGTGACCAGTACAGAAAAGGACATTGGTGCAGTAGTGGGTTTTTTGTTTTGTTTTGTTGTCTTTTTGAGACAGGGTCTCCCTGTAGCTCCAGCTGTCCTGGAACTCACTATGTAGACCAGGCTGGCCTAGAACGCTCAGAGCTCTTCCTGCCTCTGCCTCCCAAGTGCTGGGATTAATGGCGTGGGCTACCATACCTGGATTGCAGTAGTGATACTTTTATCTTGGGGTACTCAACAGATACTTAATTGGACTTAAAGCCCACTCAATGGGAGGAAACTCACGTCTGGTATTGTAAACCTAGCCAAATACACATAGCGGAGAGGTCATAGATTTTAGAGGAAACCCCAAGGCTCTCATATCCCTAGACAAATGTAATTTCTCCTATCTGCAAAATATGGATCCTTAAATTTACAGACAAGTATCCCAGTCACCACCCATCAAAGCAGTTTCTTTTTAACAGACAGATTATTACAAACTTATACCACTGGTCACACACAGAGATTGTGAATTGCCCAAGCCTAAGTGGCACATCTAGGATGCAACCTCTACACCTAAGACTCACAGAACATAGAACAAGGGATGAAGACACTAATGCATCTTTCAACTCTCATCAATGAAGCTCCCTCATGCAACTGAAGGCCAGAAACACAAAAGGTCACAAATGGCCAAAACACAGAGAATAAGAGTCTGCAGAGTTTGTGTCCTTGGATAAGATTCTTATATTGAGGTCCACCCACCCAGGGCTCAGGGACCATTGCAGAAGAGGGGGTGGAAAGATTGCAGAGCCAGGGAGGAGGTGCATGACCATATGGAAATGGTCCTAGAGGCACCTGGGACCCTTCTCATACAAACCTACAGCAATGGTGTCAGCATGCACAAGACCCATGCAAACTTAAGCAGACAAAAACTCAGCACAGAACTGTGAACAGCAAGCCCCAAACTTAGTCAAAAAAATTATTGGCAGCTGATTACTGCTGGATGAGGAAGAGCTGATCTTCTTGAAGGGAGAGACTCTAAATAGGTTGATTCAACCCCGGTGGATGAACTTGCGCTGAGGAACATTTGTGGGGGCTATGGAATGGTGCCAAAGGGGAAGGGGGTATAAAGATAATTTTCTGTATGAACTACACAAAAAAAATTAAAAAAAAGACTTATTGGGGGCGGGAAAGGTGCCTCAGTGATTAAGAGCAACTGATTGCTCTTGGAGAGGGCCTGGGTTAAGTTCCTAGCACCCACTGGCAGCTACCAACTATCCATAACTCCAGTTCCAGGGGATCTGATGCCCTCTTTTGGCCTCCATGGGCATTGCATGACACAAGTGCACTTTCATACATGCAGGCAAAACACTCATACACATAAAAATTTTTTAAAAAACCATTGTTTAGTGGGCCTGGTGGCGCACGCCTGTAGTCCCAGCACTTGGGAGGCAGAGGCAGGTAGATCTCTGTGAGTTCAAGGCCAGCCTGGTCTACACAGTGAGTTCCAGGCCAGGTGGGGCTACAGGAGACCCTGCTTCAAAAAGATCAAAAAACAAAACAAAAAAATGTTTAAAAAAGACATTTTTATTTTACGGGCATGAGTGTTTTCCTGCATGTGTGTAAGTGCACCACCTGCAAGCCTTGTGCCTGCAGATGCCAGAAGAGGGTGTCCAATCCCCTGGGACTGGAGTTGCAGACAGTTGTGAACTGCCAGCTCTGCAAGATGGAACTCTGCAGGTTGGAACTGCCAACTCTGCAAAAGTTGCAAATGCTCTTAATCTGAGTTATCTGTCCTCAGCGAGCCTCACAGAGGAACTTTTAAAAACTTTTTAAAAATTATTTTTATGTTTGTGAATAATTCTGTTTTTTTTAATTTTACTTATTATTTATATTTTACGTGTATGAGTGTTTTGCCTGCATGTAGGTAGGTGTGCCTGTGTCATGCAATGCCTGAGGAGGTCAGAAGAGGGTGTCAAATCACCTGAAACTGGAGTTATGGACAGTTGTTAGCTGCCATGTGGGTGCTAGGAATCGAACCCGGGTCCTCTGCAAGAGCAGTCAGTTTTCTTAACTTCTGAGCCATCTCTCTAGCGCCTTTTGTAATTATTTTTAAAAATATTTTGTTATTTTATGTGTATGAGTGTATAGCCTGCATGTAGATTGGTACACCCAATGTCATACAATGCCTAAGGAGGTCAGAAGAGGGTGTCAGATCCCCTGGAACTGCAGTTACAGAGGGTTGTAAGCCACCATGTGGGTGCTGGGAATTGAACCCAGGGTCCTCTACAAGAGTAGCCAGTGCTCTTATCTGCTAAATTATCTCTCCAGCCTCCCAACTGGTAATTCTTTCTAAATCACTCATGTTACTAAAGTTCACTTTGTCAATCCAAAAACACAATTCTTATGGCAATAGGAATAAGGGACATTTTATTCTGGAGTCAAATATGACTGACCATGGCCCAGGAACACAGATTCAAGTTAGCCCCAATACCACGTTCCAAGGAGGTATCAGTTTCATGACATTTTTATCACAACAAAAAAAGAAAGTTATGGGGCTGAAGCGATGGCTCTTGTGGTTAAGAGCACTGGATGCTCTTACAGAGGACCTGGGTTTGGTTTTCAGAACCCACATAGTGGCTAACAACCAACTGTAACTCCAGTTCCAGAGGACCCATGCCCTCTTCTGGCCTCTTTGAGCATTGCATGACATGGGTGCACTTACATGCTTGCAGATGAAACACTCATACACATAAAAATAAATATTGGGGCTGGAGAGATGGCTCGGGTTAATAACACTGACTGTTCTTGCAGAAGACCCGGGTTCGAACCCCAGCACTCACACGGCAGCTAACAAATGTCTGTAACTCCAGTTCCAAGAGATCCGACAGTCTCTTCTGACCTCCACGGGCATTGCATGACATGGGTGCACTTACTTACATGCAGGCAATACACACATACACATAAAATAAAAATAATGAACAAAATATTTTTTTAAAAAACCCACAAAATAAGGTCTGGAGAGATGGATCAGCGGTTAAGAGCACTGACTGCTCTTGCAGAGGACCTGGGTTCGATTCCCAGCACCCACATGGCAGCTACGAACTGTCCTTAACTCCAGTTCCAGGGGAATCCGAAACCCTCTTCTGACCTCCGCGACACTGCACGACACGGGTGCACTCACACGCAGGCAATACACTCATACACATAAAATAAAAATAATAAATAAAATATTACAAAAACCACAAAATGTTTTTTGAAAAAAGAAAGTTATAAATCAAGACATTTTCCAAATACATTGGTGGAGACTTCAGACAGATGGGTTATAATAAAGCGGGCGAAATCTTTATCAGCCTCAGATGCTATCTGATGACATTTTTAACCTTTGAGTTGGGAGAAGCTAGAGGTCTGTGTGTAGATTCCAAAAGGATTTACCTAATAGTCACAAGAACACTAGGTCACACACATAGGTGGGCAATAAATGGCTACTTAGAGGGTCAATATAGCCCAAGATAATTTTGGCTCCTCACCAGTAACATTCCAACCCTCCAATGCCCATCCACCTTGCACAGTCTTTAACATAAATGTGCCTTTTTTCCTTCTCTACCTCTTCCTCTTCCTCTCCCCTCCCCCTTTTCTGGGAACCTCAGTTCATAACTTTGAACACAACCTCCCAGGGTTAGGAGGGAGGCGGACATTCGGCTGAGGATAGGCACAAGCAAGGACTGGAGGAGGAAGAGGCTACAGGGAAGGAAAGGCTTTGCATCTCAGCCACCCGGAAGTTTTGGAGCTGAGGCGATAAGGATGACCCAGGATCAGAACTTGATGATAGCTCCCAGGTCTGCACGGTAAGTACAGCACGCGGGCTCCCGTCCTTGGTGTCCTGACCTCGGGATCCAGCAGAGGGCGCACTTCCAGGAGGAGCCGAGGTCCAGAAGGCACCACTCTAGAGAGGAGCCGGGTCATAGAGTCGAGCCACTTCTGGCCCCGAAGGGCGGGGGAAGAAGCCGGAAGTCTGGTGAACTCTGGCAGTGGAGATGGAGGAGTACGAGTCGGTTCTCTGTGTCAAGCCGGAGGTTCATGTCTACCGCATTCCCCCGCGGGCCACCAACCGCGGCTACAGGTGACGTCCCTGGCCCGGCGTGGCTTATTCCCAGCCGCACACCGCGGGGCCCGAGGACGGGCTGTCCGGCTTCCAAACCCAGGAGGGGAGTCAGACCCAGGAGGGGGTGGGGTCAGACCTAGGAAGGGGCCAGACCCCGGGGGGGTTCAGACCTAGGAGGGGGCCAGACCCCGGGGTGGGGGTCAGACCTAGAAGGGGGCCAGACCCAGGGTGGGGTCAGACCCAGGAGGGGGGGCTCAGTCCCAGGAGGGGGACCAGACCCGGGGGGGTGCCAGACCCAGGAGGGGGGGATCAGACCCAGGAGGGATCCAAACCCAGGAGGTCAGACTCAGTGTCAGCTGTGGGTGGGACGCTCGCACCCCTGGCGGCGGGGCATCCGTGTGGGCTGCAGGGGGTCGTGTCACAGCTCTGACCGGTGGCCTTAGAAAGCCTGGGGCGCACGCCTTTAATCCCAGCACTCAGGAGGCAGAGGCAGGCGGACATCTCTGAGTTCAGAGCCAGCCTGGTCTACATAGTGAGTTCCAGGACAGCTGGGGCTACAAGGAGACCCTGTCTCAAAAAGACCAACAACAACAACAAAAAAGAAAGCCTGCCCCTCGTGGAAATCGCCACGGGGAGGGAGCACAGAATGGTGGAGTAGCTTCCAGCAGAGGGCTGAAGCCTCAGGGGCCTTTAGCTACCTTGACAGCAGGTTCACTCTTCACTGAAGCCTGCAGCAGCTGGGAGGACCCAGTGGCCCTGATCTTGAGTAATGGTCGCCTGAGGCGAATCAACACAAATGCTGGTAAACCTTCTCTCAGAAGGGAGCCCAGCTGACTGACTTAGGCAGAAGCTGCACAGTCGCAGTCACTGTATATAGCCTGTATTGTTTGCTCTATTATCTCCCTATCAAAACAAGATGGAAAATGCTTTTTATTTTTTAAAATATTCATTTAAAAAAATTTTATTTTTATGTGTATGCGTGCATTGCCTGCGTGTACGTAAGTGCATCCAAGTGGTGCAATGCCTGCGTGTACATAAGTGCATCCAAGTGGTGCAATGCCTGCGGAGGTCAGAAGAAGCTGTCGGATCCCCTGGGACTGGAGTTACAGACGGTTGTTAGCTACCACATGGGTGCTGGGATTTGAACCTGGGTCTTCTGCTAGAATAACCAGTGTTCTTAACCGCTGAGCCATCTTTCCAGCCCCCTGGAAAATGCTTTTTTAAAAAGTCATTGCTGGGCCGGGCATGGTGGTGCACGCCTTTAATCCCAGCACTCGGGAGGCAGAGGTAGGCCGATCTCTGTGAGTTCAAGGCCAGCCTGGTCTACATAGTGAGTTCCAGGACAGCTGGGGCTACAGGGAGACCCTGTCTCAAAAAGACCAAAAAAAATGTCATTGCTAGTATGTACAAAGTGGCCTGTACCCTCTGATGCAGTGTCACTGCTTGGGAGAAGGCGGCTTTTAAAGGTGATGTGTGTCTAAATTATTTGGAAATACAAGATTGCTCTAATATCAATAATGTTGGCTGCCCACATAGCTGTCCTCTTGTGACTTTGAATTTGTGTAACACAGATCCATAGCAGATTTTCTGAGCAGGTATTTTATTGAACACCTGATATAATTTAGTGTGTAGTGTGTAATGCTCTCTCTGCGTTTGGGTGCATATTTACACAGGTGTGCATGCTTAGGTGCAGATGTGCAGAGGCCGGAGGACCAGCGAGTGTCTTTATAGCACTTTGCCTTATTCCCTTTTGATAGTCTCTCACTGGACCTGGAGGCCTCCATTTCAGCCAGACTGGCTAGCCAGCAAGTCCCAGCAATCCTACCTCTGTCCCCCCACAGTGGTGGTGTTCAAGCACGTGCAGCCGTGCCTGGCTTTTTTTTTGCTGATGCTGGGAATTCAAACTCAGGCCATTATGTTTGCTTAGCAAGCGCCTTTACCCACTGAGCCATCTCCCCAGTCCCTAGAGGTGTCATCTGCCCTGATCTGTTGGGTAGGTTGGGTTTCTCATGGTCCCTCATAGGGCAGGGTTACCAAGTGTCCACCCAGGCTGGTTTGGCACATAAACTGCCAACCTTGTACTTAACCTTTAAGGGCTCTCCTTAGCCTGACTCTAAGGCCCACTGCACTAGGAAGAGGAACTGAAATGGCCTGCAGCTGCGGCAGTTGCTTATCCACATCTGTGTGGTGCTTTAACAGCCACTATCTAGAGTTCTGACATCTGTTTAGGAACTTCCCAGAAAAGCCTCCTGGAAACACCCATGGTGCTTGCTCTTTCCGAGTTTCACTGAGCTGCTGCTGCAGCTGAAATGTGAAGTTATCACTTTAAAAGAGCCGGAAGAGGCCATTGCTGAGGGTCCATATTTTCTTGGGTTTCTTCCTGCCTGGAATACATTTAAGAATATGTTTTCTGGGCCAGGCCTTTAATCCCAGCACTTGGAAGGCAGAGGCAGGTAGATCTCTGTGAATTCGAGGCTGGCCTGGTCTACATAGTGAGTTCCAGGACAGCTGGGGCTACAAGGAGACCCTGTCTCAAAAAGACCAAAAAAAAAAATTATATGTATATATATATTTTCTGTCAGGTGTGGTGTAGCATGCCTTTAATCCCTAATCCCAGCACTGGGGAGGCAGAGGCAGGTGGATCGCTGTGAGTTCAAGGCCAGCCTGGTCTACATAGTGAGTTCCAGGACAGCTGGGGCTACAGGGAGACCCTACTTCAAAAAGATGACAAAAAAAAAAAATTTGTAAAAGAATATTTTTATTTCATGTGTGTTGGTGTTTTGTCTGCGTGAATGTTAAGTGCACCACGTGCATGCAATGCCCTGCAGAGGCCAGAAGAGGGTGTTGAGTTTCCTAAAACGAGTTACAGATAGTTGTTAGCTGCCATGTGAGTACTGGGAATAGAACCCCAGTCCTCTGGAAGAACAGCAGGTATTCTTAACACCTGAGCTATCTCTCCAGCCCGTTTGTATAATTCTTAAAATATCAGCTTTTACATGTGTTATTTGACTGTTTCCTGCTGCCTCACCAGAGTCGCCCAGTTGTAACACAGGCTCTGTGGTCCATATAGGCAAAGATATTTGGTGCCTTGGTCTTTACAGAAAAAGATTGCTGGCTTTCTTCTTCTTTAGAACTAGCAGCCCTTCCCATTCTCTTCCCCAGCACTGGAGAACTGGAGCAGGAGGCTCAGTGGTTTTTGTCCCTTCAGGGCCTCAGAATGGCAACTGGACCAGCCATCATGGAGTGGCCGACTGCGGATCACTGCAAAAGGTCAGGTGGCCTACATCAAGCTGGAGGATAGGACCTCAGGTACAGATACAGGAGGTGGGTTGGGCTAGGGTGCCTCGGCTTCCTTCTGTTACAGGGAGAGGCTGCCTCAGCCAGGCTGGCTGCTCTGTGCCATGGGAATGGGACACTCATTGGACCTTTCTGCTGCTTCCTTCCCTGCCTGAGTGTTGAAACCACTGTGCCCAGCAGCAGAAAAAAGTGCTTCTTGCTAAGCACTTGTTTCTTTTGGGGGGTCCTTAAGAAGCTAGTAGCTAGGCCAGGCATGGTGGGGCACGCCTTTAATCCCAGCATTCAGGAGGCAGAGGCAGAGGCAGGCAGATCTCTGGGAGTTCAAGGCCAGCCTTGTCTCCATAGCAAATCCAGGCCAGCTGGGGCTACAGGGAGACCCTGTGCCAAAAAGACCAAAAAAAAAAAAAAGAAGCTACTAGTTTTGGAGGCCAAAGAGAGGAGACCAGCAGCGTGGCTCTAGTAGGCAGTTGAGTTGAACCCCAGAGCTTGCTGTAAGACACGCTACATGCTGGGCAGACCTGAAGAGGCCTTCCAGGTTGAGCCCTGGTTCTCGCTCAGGAATTCTGTTTATCAACTACAAGGTAACTCCTCAGAGCTGACCACACCCAGTAACCGAAGACACTGCAGACTGTCCTCCTCAGCTCTTTGGTTTCGAGAAGACAAGCCTAGCGGGGCTGGGCTGCAGTCAGCTACGGAAGCTTTCCCAGAAGTCGTGGGTCACCAGTGCCTCTGGGGGAGCAGTGGAGGGTGACTTGGTTGCTTAAGATCTCCACTGGAGATCAGGTACCTGATTGTCAGGCCCACAGCATTCTTAGGTTTATTTTTTTCCCCTAATATGTAGAAGTTTCCCTTTGTGGAGCAGAAGACAGCACAGAGAGCTGGAGGCAGAACTGGCTGCCACTTTCAGAACTGCTGCTTCTGAGTGCGGAACCCTGGGCTAGCACAGGACCTCTGGAGGATTGGCCTCCTCTTTGAAAAATCCCAAGAGTTCCTCCCTCTCAAGGGATTTGGAAATAGGATGTGAGCAGATACTCATAGGATTGTGTCAGGAGCTGCAAGGTGACCCAAAGCATTGATCTGTTCCCCCTGGAGCCCAGGGAGGAGAGGGCAAGTGCTGGCTGTAGAGGAATTAGAGGAGTTGGAGACAAAACTGTCATGGTGAGAAGAGGAGCACGGCTCTAGAGCATTGCTGAAGCATACCAGTGTCCTAGGTGGTGCCACAGGGGTGTGGCAGTACCTCTAGGGCCTTTTCCCTAGGAAACTTGGGAACTGTGACTTTAACCTGACCATCTACCATGACAGCCACTGCTTAGGGCCCCATCTGTAAGACTCACCCCAAGATGCTCTTAGATCAGAGTGGCAGTCATCTCTCACTCCCCATTGAGTGCATCGCTCTGATGGGGCCCCTCAACCTTGGCCTGTTGACATTTGCAGCCTCTAAGCCCTATGTGGAGGACATTCAGCTGCATCTCTGGCTTCCACCTAGCAGTTACCATAGCACCTCTTAAATTGTGACAGTTTAACGTGTCTCTAGACCTTACTAAACATCCCCATAAGGAAAGGGAGCACAATCACCCCCGAGAACCGATGCTGTAAGATAAAGGCTCTAGGTGGGTCTAGACGAAGTACCAGACTGGGTGGACCACATTGGCAAGAAGCTGCATGTTCAAGGGCCATCAGTTTTCACTTAATTCAGTATTGATGACCCATCCCAGTCACTCCTAAACCACCGGACTCATTCGAGGCATGGTTGGTAAATGTCTGTTGTCCCAGAATTTAGGAGGGTAGGACAGAAGGATTATGAATTCAAGGCCAGCCTGAGCTGCATAGGGAGACCCCCCCCCATCTCAAACAACAAAACAAGTACCTGTTTAATCAAAAGACTTAAAGCACCAGTTGAGCACCTCTGATCATGGAGCCCGTCCTAAAGGTTCACAGCTCTGTGGGTCCCAGAGCTCACCAAGGGACACACTGCACAGGAGTGCCTTTAAAAAACAATCTTTTATTAAGAATTTTGCGTGGTGGCATATGCCTTTAATCCCAGCATTCAGGAGGCAGAGGCAGGTGGATTTCTGGGAATTTGAGGCCAGCCTAGTCTACATAGTGAGTTCCAGGACAGCTGGGGCTATAGAGAGACCCTGCCTCAAAAAGACCAAAAAAAAATTTTCATACCTTTTTTTTATCATTCAGACTCCCTCCCCCATCTCCACCCTCACCATCCCACCTCATCCACCCATGTTTTTTAAAAGACATTTATTGATCTTTATTTTATGTGTATGAATGTCTTGCCTACATGTATTTAAGTGCACCGGTGTCATGCAGTGCCCATGGAGGTCAGAAGAGGGTGTCGGAATACCCTGGAACTGGAGTTATGGACAGTTGTTAGGTGCTGGGATTCGAACCCAGGTCTTCGGCAAGAACAGCCAGTGTTCTTAACTGCTGAGCCACCTCTCCAGCCCTCAGTCTGGTTTTTAAAAAAAATTTTAATGTGTAAAAAGTTTTTTTTATTGAATTTTTGCAATTTTCATACAGTATAATTTGATGGTATTTTGAATCCCCTCCTATCAGCACCTCCCTTATTGGCCCC